AAAACAAAGAACTAAAAGTAAAAAAAAAATTATATAGTGAAGTAATTCGGAAGGAAAATTAGCAATAGTTACAATCGAGGGACAAGGGGGATAACTAAACCTAGTCAACGTACATGGACGACGTAGAGCCAAAGACAATACATTTTATAAAAACCTGAAAAATTATTAACAAACACATAAAATCGACATGACATTATTTTGGTTGGGGACTTTAATTTCGTGGAAGACAGATTAGACATTGTAGGACCAAAAACATCAATCGAAAGCGCTTAACCGCAGACAAACCACACACTTACTTAATCATCAACATTAAAACATACTTTAAAATAGTCGTCACATAGAGAGCACGATATCCACACACCTTACAAACCACCCACGGAAGTAACACATCTGGGAATAGATTTTGTCTAGACAGAATTCACGCACCAGTGAACATGAAAATTGACAAAGTAGAACGCCTATTCTCAACACTACATACATTACGACCATACAGCAGTTCTGACAAGTTTAAACAAAAACAAACACAAAACAAACAAAAACACGACACATACTGGAAACTCATAAAATACACTATTAATAGACGGGCGCTACATCAAAACTGTAAAAGACATAAACCGATTGTACACAGAGTCAGCAATAAAATCAAAAAAAATTCAACATTGGGAAGATTTTAAACAAGACATTAAGCGGATAGCTATTCAATATGCTTGTAGCATTAACAGCTTTAGGGCGCACATAGAAATTAAACTAGAAAAAAAGTATACTTAAAGGAATTAACAAGAACAAAGAACAAATAGACTCAATAGAGACGGAACGTTCATAAATACAGGAGTACAAATATAGAGGAGCACAAATTTGAAGTAGAATAGAAATAAACCGGGAGTGATCTTCCCTAAACTTTCTCGAATATTCTTATATAAAACAACAGGGGATGGGAACTCGGGCTATAGACATGATTTTTAATCCATTTTAAATACTTAAAGTTTTAAAAATAGAATAAAATCTCGTAGACAAAAAGAATTGCACACCAAGCGAACGCCAAATAAAAAAAGGGATAATAGTGCGCAATATTATTAGTACTTTAAAAATTTACATTAGTTTTTTTTAGAAATCGGAAGTAGCGTAAATTACTACTTCCGGTCAACGGAAATTACTCAAAATTTAACAGAAGGTAGAGAATTAGATCTTTTACTTACATGTGAAATTTCATTTATCTATCTGAAATAGTACTCAAGTTATAGGCTTTTGAAAACGTCAAAGTAGAAAAAGTACCACTTCCGGTTATCAGAAATCTCTCAAAAGTTGATACGGATCTACGATTTTGATAAAATACTTATATATGAAATTTCATCAACCTAGCTCTAACGGTACTCAAGTTATCGTGTTTACACACGGACAGACAGACAGACAGACACACAGACACACAGACATACGGACAGAATTGCAAAGCCCAGTTTTTCTGACTGGATTACGCATAAAACCTCTTAATTTTGATAAATCTGGATTGATAATTTTTGCCCGATTAAAATAAGTCCTCTATACTTCGGATGTGATGAAGGACTGAGGTGTAATACGGTGAAAATTGTTAAAATTTCAAGTGATTTTTGTGCACGATTACAATACTTTCTCTATACTTCGTATATACGGGAAAGTAAAAAAGGCTCGGAAAACTCCTCACACCACACCTTAATTTTAGAATAAAGCTTTCAGAGAGCAAAACAAATCACACATCTCATAGACATCAATAACCAAGAGACGACTGACCCGTAAACAATTCAATCAATATTTATAGTTTACTAGCGTACCCGTCCCCGCGCGTTGGCGCGTGAATAGAAGAAAGTCTGAAGAAATATATAATAAGAGTTTCATCCATGCGTTACCAATCCTATATTCTTAGACGCGTCACCTTGTGTTCTAAAAGTGTGTTATTTAAAAGTAAACAATTTTTTAAAATGTATTATAGGGCCTTTAGCCTTTGGGGGCAGAAACTGAATTTTTTTCGCAGCCAAATCGCACCCTAACATCGCGCCGGGGACATGCCTGATTCAATTTAGTGAGCGACTGTAACGCCCCATCATATCCATTGTCTATCACACTGTTTAGAATGAACGTAGTCGCCAAAGCACTCGCGTGAAAGACCAAAGCGCCAAATTGCATCCTACCTGGAGCGGCACGTGCGAAATTAACCCCCCCCCCCCTTTTCAGCCGACCTAACACCCCACCCCTTCCCCTCCTCCTCTTCTTTTAGCTATCTTTAGAGAAATGTTTCTGCTAGAACAATGCCACAAAAATTTCAATAGATCATACCAAACATTAAAAACGCAAACCCAAAACCGATCCTAAATTAACCCAAAACTATAGACTATAGATATATTTCTCTTATAAACACCGATTATAAAATTCTAACAAAAGCTCTAATCTTTAAAAATTGAACCACCCTTGCATAAAATAATAAATGTAGACCAACAACAAAGCAAAATCACAGGTCGGAACATACAAAATTACAATCACTTAATTTGAGACATCATCCACTACACACGAGAAAAACACACAAGCATGCATACTCAGTTTAGACTTAAAAAATGTCCACCGGTTAGCTTACACATACCTTCACAAAATCTTACAAGCAAACAGTTTAGGACAATACTTTACGACATGGATAAAAATAAACTATTTTAATGCACATAGTCACCTACTGATAAACCATATTTCCCAACCCTTTAGAATAAATAAATCAGACCGACAAGGTTGCCCCCTATCTCCAATCCTTTATATACTAACACTTGAACCTCTGTTAGAATGCATTAGACAAACAAGAGATATCAGAGGAATCGACATACCAAACCAAACAAACACAAACATTCTAGTGTAAGCTGATGACACAGCCTTTATCCTCCAAACCTTTATATTAGGGGTCTCAAAACTACAGCCCGCGGGCCTAAAACGGCCCGCGAAGTCCTCTCATCCGGCCCGCGGAGATCTTTTTGTTCAAGGAAAAAAACTTTGCCCAGAAAAAAATAGACATGTCTGGAAGAAACTGGCCCCCAAACTGAAATTTGATAGTTAATGCGGCCCTCGGAATGAAAAGTTTGGAGACCCCTGATCTAGATCTAGATGATCTAGAATCTCTAGATCTAGATGATCTAGAATCTCTAGATCTAGATGATCTAGAATCTCTAGATCTAGATGATCTAGAATCTAGATGATCTAGAATCTCTAGATCTAGATGATCTAGAATATCTAGATCTAGAATATCTAGATTTAGAAACCTAATAGAAGTTTTTTTTTTAAGTTTAGCCCGAGCAAAATTGTATTGTATAAATTTTATAGCGTACGTAGATATAAATAATATTTGAATGAAATAGTTCATTTCTTTTTATTCTAAACACGGCAGATTTTTTTTTTTTTTTTTTTTTTTATTTATTTTTTTTTGTTTGTTTGGCTAAACACGGCAGATGACGTCATTAGTTAATGTATAAACATTAGTGACGTCACTGTTTTATGCATTCTTTTTCACAACTATAAACGCTTTTCCTGTTGCATAATTAAAACTGTTTTTCTAGATTCGAATACACCTTTATTTTTTATTTTTCTTCTTTAAATAAAATTGTGGTTATACATTTAAAACATCTACCATATTATTTTCAACAAAAGTCCGTAGCAAGTTCTCCATATTTCGCTGAAGATTATGACGTGGTATCCGTCGAAAATATTTTGCGGACAGAGAGAGAGAGAGAGAGCGAGAGAGAGAGAAAGAGAGAGAGAAGTGCGCACTTGGGCTTTTATATATTAGGATAATTTAGGACAAAAACTTAGTCTTGGTAAATTTATAACTCATGTATTAGATATAAATGATTATAAAGATTCACTTTAAATTAAAATAGTTGAAGAGCTAGGCTTATTTATGGAACCGTCAGTAGATAAAGGGTTGCACTTGAAATTTTCGTGGGGAGGGGGGATGCGGGCGAACTAAAATTTCTAGGGGGGGGGGGGGGACACTGTTAAAAGTATATATTTTCGATATTTCGTTAGGGGGGGGGGCGATAGCCTATTTTCGAGGGGGGGGGCGGTTACCTTGAAGAAACACTTCTTCTTCTTCGCTCTTAATTTTCAGTGTTGGTAGGGATCTAGCCTTATCTGCCAGAAGAAACACTGCTTTAGATTTTCTTAGTGATGACGACAGAGTTAACATATTTGTTTTTTAAAATTTAGTGTTATTAACATTTAGATGCCTTCAAGAATTCACGTCAAGTTTGTTACAGAGCGTAAGAAATATTTGGAAAAACAGATACAAGTTCTGGAACCTGTTTTGGGAAATATGAAAAAGGTAAGTCATTACAAACTAAAAATCTTCGTAATACTTAAAATGTAAAAATCATTTTATTCACGATAAAGTAGGTTTAGCGTTTTTCGAAGTGAATGTGTTAAAAACACAGAACAACATCACATGTTTATGAATATAGCACTCAAACATTTGTAATGGTATAGCAGTACAACACGTTGTCACTTGACAATTTTGTTGTTGTTTGCTTTAACCAGGTTGTTGCAAAAAGTAAGGCGTGGCTAGAAGAAAAAACTGACCAATCATCTGTCAGCTACATCGAGCTATCACAAGAACTGGACACAGCAGCCACGGCCTTGTTGGATGTGACGTCACATATTTTAGGTCAGTACTCTAATAGTTTTTATAATTTAAAATCTCAAAGCCTACTGTCATGTGTCATGGGTGTTCAGTAATGAAGTGTTTCTACTGAGAAAAATGCAACGAAATTGTTTTACAGTTTAGTTTACAGACATTACAAATACTAAGTTAAAGGGATATAATTTTACTGTCTAACAAACCACTTTCCACTTTTCTATGAAATCGACGTCACATTAGTGAATATTGTAAATCATTATATGAACGAAAAAAAAGATTTTTACAATCACATCGTGTAACCTTATTCGCCCTAAAACAACGTTGAAGAGCCTTAAAGTTTTTTTTTTTTAAAATTACTTTTCATTATAAAATCGATAATTATTCTTGTAAAAGTTAAATTTAAAACAATATATAGATTTCGACTTTTTTGGAATTATTTGTATTTGTATACATTTGGATCATATTCAAAGTTGTTTTTGATCAGAGTATTACATGGTTTGCGTTATAGTTTAACTAGCTAAAATAGCCACATTTATTGTGTGTAGTAAAATAATCCTTGTTTACTTCAACTGCAATTAAAATAAAATTCTCAACCCCAATCTACTAGACGAGGACAACATGGATGTCAACAAACCAACGCCATCTTTACCACAGCCTGACACACAGACAACAGCAAAATTTCTAACAGTAGAATCACCAAGACAACTCAAGACACAAGTTCAACACACAGCTGGTATATTATATTATTCTTTGAATAACACGTCAAATAAAAGCATCATACTGTAAACCAATGTACGATTGATACAGGGGCGTAGCGAAGGGGGGGGTTGGGAGCGGGGGGTGCGGACAGCACCGGGTGATACCATTTAGGGGGGTGACACCAAGGCAAAAAAATAGCAAAATATATAGAGAAAAACTTGAGGGGGGGGGGTGCAAATCAAAAGTTTTATTGGGTGGGGGTGCAAATCGAAAACTTGAGGGGGGGTGCAAATCGAAAACTTGAAAGTTTGTCCCCGGGAAGGGTCGGAACGCCTCTGGGGGTGGGGGGGGGGGGGGGGTAACACAATTAAGTGCCGCACCGGGTGAAACCCGACCTCGCTACGCCATTGGATTGATACATTTGTTTAATTTCATTTTTAACAGTCTATTTTTCAAGATTTGGAACATTTTAAATTACAAACTTATATTTGCGACTATTCTCAGTTGAAGAACATCCTGACCTAGAGCGACGACTCGCCTATATTGAAACAACACTATCTTCACTACAGGACACACAACACAAGTCTACAGATGACATATCAGAAATAAAACAATGGAGAGACAATTTTGTAACAGAACAGAGTGATATGGGGGTAAACATTGAACAACTGACTAAAAACCAAAAGCAGAATTTTAAAAACTTTAGAAAACAAATGAATGAACAAGATAACAAAGTAAAGGAGCTGAACATAGAAATTGAAAGTTTAAAAGAAAAAGAATCCAAGTCAAATAAATCACTAGAGAAACTGTCTCTAGATATGAAAGAATATGAAAACAACTTACTGAAAATAAATAAGGAGATGCAAGATCACACGGATAAAACAGACAGTATAACTGTTGAAATTAAAAGACATTCTGATTTGATTGTTACAGTACAAGAAGATAATAAAAACGTGGTCGATAAATCAACCAAACTTGAGAAGATGCAATCAAAGGTAAACTTTCAAATTACTAATTAAATGGGTAAACAATTATACACCTACTTACCGGTTTACCAACTCCGTATATTTTAACCGAATAGTAACGTGTAATCAAAAGTCACTTGATTTAATTTTTCGACCAATAAAACTTTTGATTTTGCAACTAATTTTATGTCTGCAATTTTAATCTACAATAGAAATATTCAAATTTGTAATAATTAATTTAGCACAATGTGATGTACAAACTCCTACAACAAAGATTGATGCCCATTGACAAACTGATTCAAATCTTTAACCAGAACTTGGAAACAAGGGAAAAAAGAAAAAAAAAGGTATGTTTGTAATCATTTTATTAAACAATAAATTGCTACATTTAATAAAGAAATGCAATAATTACTTACACGCTGTTATTAGTCCAGTCATTTTCATCCTTTTTCGTTAATACATTTATATTTATAAAACAGCTTCAAATTATTTTGAATTCTTACAAGCCATTTCCAATTATTGTCATTGAAGCTATTGTATGTTATACGTAACTATGTGATTATTTCATTTACATAATTTTACTTGTATTTTAATTTAGCTTGACAATATTGAAAATACTATCTCAAAACTGTCGAAACATTTTCATCTGATCGGTAAGTGTGCTATGAAAAAACGAACGAAAGAAAATGAATAAATTATTATGTTAAAACAATAATAATTTAACAGGAAATATACTTTATTTCTAGTGAAAATGTTACACAACTAATAGTTTGACGTAGATGTACGGAGTGGTCTAGCGCTAGAGAGCTGGACTGCTAACCCGTAAGTCTCGATTTCGAATCCGGGTTCAAGTAAGTAGACCGTCCCTGAGTCCACCCAACTCTGATGGGTACCTAACTCACGTTAGGAAAAGTAAAGGCGGCTGGGCATAGTGCTGACCACACTATCTCTTCATATGCCGAGGTCACAGAAACAAGTGAACTCTACTTCACTTGCCCCATAGACCGTCAGGTTTGAAAAGGGAAACTTTAATTTACTTTACTTACTTTATCGTAGAGTAATCGATGCTAACCGATCTGTACAATATCTTACCTCTTTTCGATTTCTTTTCATCCTCTAATTTGCCCCTCCCCCACCCCCCGTCCGGCCCTACAAATTGCTGTCATTACACGGACAGATAATATCGTGATGTTCGTTAGCCAGACAGACCATAACATGATGTTCCTTAGCCAGACAGACCATAACGTGATGTTCGTTAGCCAGACAGACCATAACGTGGTGTTTGTTAGCCAGACAGACCATAACGTGGTGTTCGTTAGCCAGACAGACCATAACGTGATGTTCGTTAGCCAGACAGACCATAACGTGATGTTCGTTAGCCAGACAGACCATAACGTGATAAAGAATGGAACATTTCACTCACCCATAGTGCCAGTCTCTAGACCCGTGGGTTTCCGTCAGGTGTTTGTTTCCTCACTTGGTACATTACACCAAGCGGCGCCCCCCCCCCCCCCCTCTGAAATAAGTCTACTCCCCCCCCCTCTGAAAAAAGTCTACCGCCTCCCACCCCCCACCCCCGAACGAAATGGAATTTATATAGAAAATATATACATTTAACAGTGTCCTCCCCCCTCACCAAAGAAAGTCTACAGCCCCCCCCCCCCCCCGAAAATTTCAAACTGTGTCGCATTAAATCCAGTAATCAAATCTAAAACAAAATTTTAACTATAAAGTTAAAAAAAAATTATTATATTTTTAATATCTTAGTATCTAATTAATTTCAATTAACATGAAATAAACAATAGTACACGTTGTCATCGGTTTTATCAGAATAACTTTTGTCCATTTATTTTTTGTTTCGATAGATTAACCTTCTATAATTAAACTATAATGTGAACACATACAGAACGTAATAAACGTATATGGAGTTTGTTTTACTTTCGGCGACTTTTTACGAGTCTGGCTACACTTGTATAAAATTAATAGTTTTAATCGTATTAGATGATAAACTAAGAAAACTAGACCGAGGGGGGTTACTAAATTAATAATGAAATGCATTGTTTTAGAGAAAATTATTTAAACAATTTCAAAGATAAATGTAAATGCACATTGTATAAATTAAATAGTCAGAGCATGTGTGAAATTAAACATGTACATCATACATGTGTTTTCTAATCAACAGAGTCACGTGTATGTAACAGATATGTTTGTCATGCGGAGCTTGCTGATCCCACACCTGTCAGTACTGGATTAATTATTTCAACCTTTGATGAAGTACGTGAATATAACGGTCAACATTTTAATCAAACAACAGGAAAATTTGAATCACCACACGATGGTTTATATCTTGTATGTGTGACTCTAAATGAATGGGAAGATAAACAGATTGAAGTTGAGGTGGTGGCTGGAGGCGTGTGGTGGAAGTCTATAGAAGTGAAATGTGCCAACACTAACGCTGCTGGGTCAGTGGTTGTTGACTTGAAGAAAGGTCAAGAACTTTACATTGAAGTGTCTGACGCAGATCAAGACGCAGAGTTATCAAGCTACAGTAGTTTTACTATCGTTAGTTTATAGAAGTACAACACAAAACATGTTGGATGGTAAATTCTCAAAAATAAAATATATAACCAATATGTTAAATACACGCAATCAACGTACTCAAATGGTTTATTTGTTATTTGTTTACTTATCATTATACACTTCCATATAATTTAATGTGATCACCAATTAATGTTCTACTTGAATTAAATAAACATGTGTAATGACCGCTCTCCGACAGCCGCGGAGAGAGCGGACACCCCGGGTTCGTTTGGGATGGTACTGACAGAAGTCACGCTAATGGAATCCCAACAACTTGCCGTGAGCTCGTTGTTGATGTCTAGGGGTAAAACACAACAAATTGAAGAGACTCAACACGACTTAAAACTGTCAATACACTTTTAATAAGTGTAAAAGAAACTACGACACTGTGTCTGTACAAAATGTACAGACTTTAAGAGTACAATAAATAAACTCAAATTTCCAACTTACAGTTTAATAAAATCACTAGATATCACAGCTGTGGCTTAGTATATTAAATACCATTAAAGAACATTACTTGACACAATTGAATGGCATGATAAATACCTCAAATATTAATAAGAGACATATTGCCTCTACAACAATAGAAACCCAAATAAAGGGCAACTTATCACCGATGTGACAAAAGGTGCAATCATACACCAAAACAAAATATCAGTAATACTACAAATGTTACACAATACCTTATATAAGTAAATAAGTTATGCCCCAAACTACACAACTGAAAATAGGCTGCTCTTAGACATGAATTGCCCGAGATTAAATGCAACTCAGTATTAGGGGAGATCACTCACAAGTCCTACGACTATTGGTTGAGGATCTGTTAAGGATCCTCACAGTCGCAAGATCATTGGTCGAGGATCTGCTAGGAATTATACAATCCAATCACATGACGTGACGGAGTTCAGTTGACCGATGAGAACCGGTGAACTAACAACTCTCCCAAGGTCAATTACAAAACTCAGGAGACTAAATAATATAAATAAATAAAAACACCTCTGTAGGTCACACATGTAACTGTATTTTTACATACATATTTACTTCTCTGTATGAGAGCTTTATGTGTAATATATAATTTATGTACTTTAATGTTATAAAAATAAAAATACAATGTTTGTGTGTGTTAAATATAAAACTTATAAATAAGAAGTTGTTTTTCGAGATTAAAAACGGCTACACTCGAGTATGTTTTTATATATTAATTTTTTTACTTTCTCGTATACGAAGTATAGAGAAAATATTGAAATCGTTTTACTTCACCCTGAGTGGGAAAAACATAGTTTTGCAATATTGTATTTCCCTCTGTGTGTATAATGTGTGTGTTTATGTCGGTAAACACAATAACTTAAGCACTGTTACAGCTAGGTTGATGAAATTTCATATATAAGTATTATTTCAAATTTGTAGATCCGTATCAAACTTTTCAGTAATTTCCGATAACCGGAAGTGGAACTTTTTCTACTTTCAATTTTTCAAAAGCATCCAACTTGAGTACTATTCAAATAGATAAACAAAATCTCATATGTAAGTAAAAGATCTAATTCACTGCCATCTGTCAAATTGTAAGTAATTTCTGTGGAAATAGTAATTTAAGCTATTTCCGATTTCACAAAAAACGAATGTGTTATACACATTTTTTTGGCGCTCCCTTGGTGTTCAATTTTTTTTCTAGGAGATTCTATCTATTTTTAAAAGTTTAATTAATTAAAAATTGATTTGAAATATTGTCTACATCCCTAGTTACCATCCGCCGTAGTGTTATATAAGAATATTCGAGAAAGTTTAGGGAGATCACTCCCGGTTTATTTAGTGTACGCTATCCATGGGTCTAGTTAAGATTAAGCTATATCTTTCAATTTAATGAGACGATTTCCAACAATTCTTTTCTAGAAGAAACATAATTGAGGATAGAAAAGAAGAACTGCTTACTCAGAAACTATGTCTTTGCACAGTTCATTAAACAGACGGGTGTTTAGGGTCCAGATTTATTAAAATTTACGATTTTTCTCATCAAATTAAGTGTCTCTTGCAGAGGAGTGAGAAGAGTATTGCTTGCAAAAGTATACATGTAAATTATGCACAGTATTCTCGTTGATTGTAAAACAACATTTTTACTTCTTTCTTAAATCCTGAATTTTACCCAGGCATAGATGGTGTACCATCTGTACAAACCCAACAACGGTCAAGCTCTTTAATCCTCCAGTTTCAAAAACGTATTTAGTTTCTCCATGATACCGTCACTTTCTGTAGTAGTTTATGTTCACTACCAAATAGAAACGTTTCTTTTATACCATTTGAATGAATATATGTTACAGAGACAAGCAATAGCGAGCGTGAGCTTAAGTCTGTTGATTGCATCACTAGAAAAGTGAACAATGGCGAAAGCTTAATTTAATTAAAAATATGTTCTTTAGCACGTACGGTGCTTTCTTTACGAAGTTCTCACTAACACAAATAATATTCTGAAAATTTCAATCTGTTTCTTATAAAAATCAGCCAGGAAACGAAAGCTCTTCAGAAACATGTGATTTTCCAAGTAAAGTGTTTTATAGGAAAAAATATATATAAAAAGAAAGGTAAATAAAACATCAATTGAAAGAATCGCACTTGCTTTCGTCGTTCAAATAAAATTTCAACAAATTTTAACAAAATAGTTTTCCTGGATAACACTAGCTTTAATGATTATTATTAAATAAATGAAATTATTAAAACTTTAAGACATTATAAAACAAAACTTAAGAAAAAAAAAATTCTTTTGAATTTTTTTTCTGAAAGTTGGCGCCTCCATGAAGTGTCCACAGTTTTGGAACCAGTGTTATAAGGCTTAAGTGAAAACTACTTTTATTTTCATAAACAATAAATAAAAATGTATTTAAATAAATTTTAAATGAATGTAGTCAACACAACTTTTAAATAATATTCATTTTTTTAATAGGTGATGACAAATCGAAAAATTAACTCTGGTGCGAAACAAACTGTATGAGTGACATAATCAAACATTTTGGGACGACGTGGCTAAAGAGGTAGAGCGCTAGGCTGCTAACCCGAAAGTCTCGAGTTCGAATTCTGGTTCAAGTAAAGAGAGCATACATGATCCCACCCAGCTCTGATGGCTACCTAACTCAAGTTAGGGAAAGTAAAGAGGGCTGGGCAAAGTGTTGACCGCACACAGCATTTACATGTCGAGGTCAAAAACTCTTCTTTATTTACTTTACTTCTGTTCACACATTTAAAACTTATTGTGATGGTTTACAGACCCATTGGAGAAACTAAATGGATTACCAAAGCTCAACATCCTTTTTACAGACATCTCTTACATAAGATAATATTGCGCTTTCGCTATGTTCAGGTTTCCATGGCCTACTGCGTCTGAACAAGTGAGGTGCATGTCATCTACATTTGTTAATTTATCATTTTCATGCAAATTTTCACCCGGGAAAATATATGGAAGCAATATACTCACACACAACTAAAAACAAGCATACATTTTAAAATAATTACACATTAATTACGTAATAATTAATTACATATAAATTTAACAATTTTAACACAATTTTTAAACTATGAAACTATAAAGTATAATAACTATTGGCCATATATTTTTCGTTTTCAAACTGCGTAATTTTAATTTAAATATATAGCCGACAGAAAATTTAGTTTTATAAGGCGTTACACTTTTGAATGAGCAAAATGATCTTAAATGCTTGTTTTTGAAAATAAGAATATGAATGAAGTAACGTCACTATAAATAAAGTTATTTTTCCGAATGTTTACAGTTAAAGAGGTGTTTCTACCAGTTAATTTATCAAAGGTCACTAAATTAATACGTGTTAAACAGTTTGGTAAAAACAAAATTATTCTTTACATAAATACGTGTTTAACAGTTTGGTAAAAACAAGATTATTCTTTATATAAATACGTGTTTAACAGTTTGGTAAAAACAAGATTATTCTTTACTTACATACGTATTTAACAGTTCTACACATAGTGCAGCTGCTCTCATGCAACCTAAATTACAAACAAAACAACAACAACAACAACAAAAATACAAACTTTTGACTTTTAGTATAATATAGATAGTCGTACAATTTACAACTTCCAATTTATGACATCTGGTAGATCAAAGATTTGTTTTTATGAGTTGTGTTAGTGTGAGCAGTATAGTGCTAATGAATTTTTGGTGCGAAAGATCTAATAACTGCATGGAATGATGACGCTTATGAAAGATAATGACGTTTTTGGCTAGGGAGTGAGTGCTAGAGGTACTCCATTTGTCCCGAAGTAAATTAGAATAATTTAGAATGACCGAGTCGGATAGTGGAACTCTCATACGCGCTTGGTAGAGGAACCCGGTGTCAACCCTCTCATTCACCCCTAATATAGATGAAGAACTGCTGTGTGTAAGTAAATATTAAAGTGTATTATATAATTGCGGTGCTGATAAAATGTATGAGTTTTTAAATTTGCAATTTATATTGCTCAACTTTTGCTAAGCCAACGCTATTTAAAAAAAACAACTTACCAACAGCTCGTAAATCACGTGATAATGTTACACTATTATTTTGAAGACTTTCCAGCTAAAACAAAGATAAATCACGGGGTATGTAAAACCTGTTAGTTATTTCGCAAAGTAATATATATATATATATATATATATATATATATATATATATATATATATATATATATATATATATATATATATATGTATATATATATATATATATTTATATATATGTATATATATGTATATATATATAATATATGTTTTCAAGCATATATAAATGTACATATAATATAAATAATAATGTGATTATTTTCATTTAAATGTACATACGTGATTACTGTTTGTATTATACTCTAAAATATATATCCGAAATCAATTGGTACCTTTTAAACATTGCCTTCACTATCTCCCACGTTCTGATTAAAAACTAATAATTTTGTCAATAGGTATCAACCTTTGTT